CCAAAGGTTTAGCGTTGATTTTAGAAGTGTTAAAAATTGTAAACAGGTTAATATACAAAATGAAATCGATAACCACTGGGTAGACCGAGCTGCCAAGCAATTATAATTCGCTTCGTAAAAATATTCGTGTCAATACTTCACGACCATGACCGCCTCCCTAGCGTGCGTTCATCAAGTGTTATTATTCACGGCCGCAATTCGCTACAAAGCAGTTGGCACAGACTTCGATAAACCCCTTGATACTCATAAATATGGATAATGGAAACGTTGGTTTACCTACGTTTTATCTGTGAAAACATGGAAGGTAAAAATTCTAAACTGAAATTTCATAAGTGAACATAAGTGTGGAGAAAACACAACGTAACAAATGTTCCAATGAATAATTTTATTATTCGCGTCGATCGTTGTTTAGAAGCATAAGCTTAAAACCGGACAAAATTAAATTACACTTAAACTTGAAATAAACGTCGTTGAAATAGCGCAACGAAGTGATCGCGTTCGTGGAATCGAAACTCTGATCGAAACTCTGTTCTGAAAACTTGAAAATCGACGATATATTTCTGACAGATCTTACACTGCCAGCGAAATAAAATCAGTCGAATCGTACGGACTGCCAACAATAGGGCGAGCCCCCACGTGTGAATTATTCATGTTGTATGAAGAATTCCGATCTCGTAACTTGCTGAATTAACGATAAAGGAACTCGTGTAAATTTTCCACGGCTAGCAATGCTCCCAGTTGCTGGAAGTAACAGCTACTAAGTTTTTACCAACTGTTTCACTGGAAATTCATCGCCAAGACTCGTAACAAAATGTCACGGTCGTGTAACAGCGCGATTTGAAAATTAAAAATAACTCGGAGCAGGTAGCGCAATGTGGCAACGAGAAGAAAACGTACAAACCACCTTGAGAGACTTAGTAAAGACGTGGTTCTCGATTCGAGCGTTATTGATTACGTTTCGACTCTTTGGAATCGAGTCGTCTTTGGATCTGGTAAAACGATCGAGAAGAAAATTGAAATTTACGCGATTGGATAAACGAAGGTAAATTGTGAATGTTTTTTAAGGCAAAGACCATCGATATCTAAAATTTTGTACTCTTTACTTATCGATGGCGATCGAATTTCGTACTTCACATTCGAACCGAGTTACGGCAGGAGCAATTGGCGAATTTCTTTTGTTCTTAATCAACTGCTCTTGATACGTATACGTGTGTAACATCGGTTACCTTGACACACTGGCACGAATGTAAGAGCGGGCACACCGCTCTGGGCTGACCCAGTTTTGATATCCTCTACTTACCGGTCCTTATTTTGTTGTTTTGCGTATGTACGTTGCCCTTGCACCCTTCGCTCTTAAAAGACACAATGCAGTTTCACGCATTTCCCAAACAAAGGGGATTGAAAGGGTGCCTATCACCGCGATGACTATCCCTGAATGGCACGGTGGATGGAAATGTTCGTAAAGATTTAGGGTGAAAGGCTTCCCATCGAGACCGCTGCTCGAGCAATTTAACCAACCGACGCGAAACATTTTATTAGAACGATTCAATTCCGCGGGCAAGGGAATGAAATCTTTTACTTTTTCCGTTTCTTTAATCCTAGTTTCGCTTTAAGGCGTATCCGGCGCGTTCTGACGCGATTTGAAAGGCTTGGGAAGCAACGAACGAATAACGTGTATTCCTCTAAACGGTGTAAATGATTGTGGAGTAAAGAAGGATAGTTTATTTAACTTGAGCAGGTTCATCGATTCTTTTTTATGTAATCAGTTGGAAGTAAATGTGTCTCACTGTATAAATAAAAAAAAATTATAAATAGTCCTTTATGAACAGTTAAAGTAATCGTTTCGCTTCGTTAAAAAAGTAAACGAAGCTCGATAAATCCAACAGTTTCCCCGAAATAAGGATGTTTGTCACTGTCCAAAGTAAGAAAGGGTTTAAGTTTTTCTCGAAACGACGGATCATCAGTTTCTGCTGGTAGCCATTTCTCGAAGCCGTGGAACGTTAAATAAATCATAGTCCCCGAATGCGATAAATTTATGTCAACGGGAGGTTACCTCGCGCAGTTCAGCGAATCCTGGTCGTTCAATTATCTTCAGTCGCGACGAATGTGTCTCGAATCGGGCCTCCCCGTACTTAATATCTGTTGCTTCTGACAGGACCGTGACAGGGGTATCATTTGATGCGTCGAAAGAGGATCGATATATCTTTTAAAGCCCAATTGAACGTACAGTTTCTAAAGTAACTTCGCGACCCGCTTTTTCTCCCCTTCGTCGAGAGAGCGAGAAAAGAGACTAGCCCCCCTGAATGAATATACTCGAGAATCAGGGAATCTCTTTCTTCTCTTTCCCTGCAGCCCCGGGCTAAAATCTTACACGCCACTAATTGCTACCATTGTCTCTGATGAAAAGAAGCGAAGCACCGCCGCCAACCTGCAACTACCCCCTTCTTCCGCGCTAAATCTTACCCTACTCGTCTTTTCTCCCTGCCAAAAATTCTCGGCAGCTTGCCGGATGTTGCAGACACCGATCCGCTGACCAAAAGTATAATTTAGATCCCTTGCTCTTCTCCCTGTACAGGCTGGCTCAGACATCACCATCTTGCTTTATGCAGATATTACCATTCGCTCCTCTACCATCCTGCTCTCCTTTTTCCCTCTTTTATACTTATTATTCGTTATAATGTATTCTGTTCTTTATGCGTTAAACTATTCATATTAAATTAATTTCACGGAAACGATGGAGTATTATCGTAGAGCATATGAACGTAGGAATTTTTAGAATTCGACAAAGACATAGTTAAAGAGGAAATGTATGTTGGATATACAGAAATGAGAATTGAAGGAGCGCACATTGGGCGACATTAAAGTGCGCCGTGAGTAAAAGATTCGTCCTTGTCGAGGGAGTCTTAGGTAAAAGGAACGCGAGACGAAAGGAAAGAGAACAACAGTCGCATTATGTTGAAAACGAAGCACAGGAGAACGAGTGTTAATAGCGAAAGGAAAAGGTTTCCTCGGCGTTTCTTATTGTTCTTCCAGATGGCACAGAGACGTTTCGCTCGCGGAAACCATTTTGAGTATTATTATTCCATTTGAAAGATGGGAACGTGCGTCACGGTTTAATTTCGCGGGAAATCATCGATGCCAGATGCACGGCGCGAAGGACCATCGAGCAGCTTTGAAAATTGATTTTTCACTAGGATATTTAACACCAGGGTGCGTGGTATATTATTGCTATTTCTTCCTATTTTTATAAGTTCGTCGTGTACGAGAAAATTGCCTGAGAATTAATAATGTAAACACGTTGTATATACAGGGTGAGCAAATGATTTGCGTAATTACTTGCTCGTTGAATAAAATTAAATTCTTCGTTAGTCCGCACCTTGTAATGTTTTTCACTCACGAACTTGATCGATGTCAAAAGGTGCCGTTTATAAAGTTTCAAAAATAATTAATAAGTGGTTCACTATAAACACTCGGGGTCCGATGGAGTTCGACGCAAATTATGATCAAATATTGAAGGAACAATAAAGGATCGAGCAACAGTATCATCAAAGCAATTTTCTGCCCGTAAAAACATTTCCAATGGAACGATATTTAGAAATATCGCGTGTGCACGCGGTTTACTGGCCAGATCGTGCAAACACGTGTGCGTATGTGCACACGTATTCCACTTAAAAAGCGGATTGCTCCTTCGAAGGGAAAACCATCCGGATTGCTGCTGTTCGTTGAATGCCCGTCGAAGCATCTGAGCAAAGTTCACCGACTCGGCTGGCTTGGCCTATTTTTTCAGACACACGACGAGGTGCGCTTTCTTCCGCCTGTCCTCACCTGTCCCTTCACCCTCTTTTTTTTTTTTTAAAGGAGCTGAGTGCACGACTATGCTAAGCCACATGTACTTTGTGTCAAAACGTCCGATATAAGAGGAGAGCATTACCCTGTGTCGCGGGAGTCGGACGACTCTCTGAAACCCTTTTTCGGACAAGAGCGTGGAATCCTCGATGTACACGCGTCACCAGAAAGTAATCCCTTGATTAACACCCTCCAACCAAGTACTTGCAAACTTTAGGGCGTGCTAAAGGCAGGAAATCCTCGAGCATCTGTGGCGTATCGCAGAGAATGCGAATGATCGATCGAAGGGATGCCCATAGATCTTTGATGTTTGGTAGAAACTCGAGACAGAATCAAAGACAGATTCAAACAAAGAATTCTTAAATCGCAAATATATTTATATGAAAACTTTTATAATCGTGAAAAGTACGTGTCGTAAAGTCGCCCGAGGAAAATTTTCTCCCCAACAGAGGAATGTCGCCAGTCCTTAAATATTCCCCGCGAATCACGTTCGAGGCACGTATTTTTGCTGTCGGTAGACTGCCTATGCGGCGTTAAGGGCAGTCGTCTGAGGGTTATCCAGTCTTCTTTGGTCCATGGACTATGTACTTATTCATCCATGCATATGCATGCCTCTACATAACGCGTATATTCGCAACACGGTCTTGTTCGGTCGAACACGTGCATGTACGACATCGGTGGACGTCGACGGTGTGAATATACACGTGTGTGGAAGGCAGTCAAGTTGAAAGACGAGATTATGGACCCTTCGCGACGTAACCAGTGACGAAACCGGAGAAGAAAACCGCGACGAACGGGAACTCTAATTTTGCGGTGGAGTTTCACGGGAATCTAGGAAATCCTTTCGCGTTTGTATCGTCGAGGATTTCAATCCATAACAAAATAACGTCAACAAAATTTCAAGCGTGTGTCAATTCATAGAAATCATTTCACAGTGGTACACCTTCATATTGGTTAGCGTTAATTTTTTAAATTTATAAATTACAATTGGTAGAGATCCACGAGAGTACACGAATTATACACGCAGAGAGAATCGATCAAATCGAATCCTCGCAAGCGATGGGCATCCGTAAGGATCGTTAATTCACGAGTAATCTTGGTTCTGTAACTGTAATCGGATCATGCTCTCCACGGATTTACTTCGTGTGTTTCAGGCTCGGCGGTTTCATTGGATTTGTGGTTGGGCCTGGATTTGGTATTAAGAAGGATGGGTTGGATACTCACCGGTCTTTGGTTGGCGTTAATCATCGTCGTCGTTGCTGGCGCCGCCCTGGCGCTCTGTAGAAGGTGATTGCATCACGATTTTAACCATCCCGTACGTCAGTGTACTGAACACGCAGTGAATGCTGTCGCATTCCTCGATAACGCTATAATATCATCGTGTAATTTCCCATTCTCTCAAAACACGTACAAAGAACAACCTTATAAAATTGGATACGAAGAATAACAGATAAAAATCCCACTACAATTTCTAAATGAGATGAATCTTCCAACGTTTATGTAACCTACACTGCGCACGAATAACAATGAACTCTGATAATTCTCCACCGCGGCAGTCGCGTGAAAATTAAAAATAACAAAACAACTTTCTGTATTTGTTCGCGTTACGTAACAGTAGACTCCTGAAGTCTTGTAAACGCTACACATGCAACAGGTTAAAGGGTCATTCAGCCACCAATTGTATCAAAGACGTCTTATCTACCCTTATTCTGTGCCCGAGTTTATTCTTCATCGAGCAAAGGGAAACGCGAGACGTTCCCACCGAGAGACTCGACCCACGCGTAAAAATATTAAAATTTACCTTCGAGCGGTAGTCGTTCCCGTATTCGTTAAACCCTCGCAGAAACGACGACGGTATCCAAATAAAAAATAATACCGTGACAATGGTAATAGCGAGTCAATATTCTCGATTTCACAACGTCGAGATTGACCTTTCGGAGAGAAACACGAACCATCGACAGAATGTGAAATTGCGAGGTGAAATCTGCCCTGACGTTTTTATTTACAGTATTCCCGCACGGTTGGAAGTAATTCTAGAGTACCTTTTCAACCCGGGGGTTACTATGATCATATTTTCATGGTTTGTTTTTGGAAGTTCTCTGTTCAGAAACTAAATATTCATGGATACGAAATTTTAATACATTTCCAGTAATGAAAGTTAATACATTGTTCTTTGTATAATTCAATTTTAAGCTCTTATTTTTTCTCGATATCAGGTCCCTTACGAGATATTTTTGTTTGCTGATATTTTAGAGGCTTTAGCATAATTATTTAATAATAATGAACATTATCTTTCACGTTTCATTCCGATTCCGCGTACCTCGTTTTAAAATAAATAAATTGGATGTAATTAAAAGAGAAACAGCAAAGTCCTAAAACCTTTTTTAGTAAACCATTTATAAATAGGTCTCAAGTATAAGGGTCGATAACGTCTTGTATTTAAGTAGTATATTTATACATATATAAAAATTCTACATATTCATATACCATTTATATAGAATTTGTTCGGAGCATATGCGAACATATCAACCCAACGCGACGGTATCGTCACACTTTAATTCTCCTAGAGTCATGCATATTCCTTTTAACAACGACTCGATTTACGAGTGACGTTTAATCGGGAATCCCATATAGGCCATCGCATGGAACGTCGAATCGACGTTGCATTAAAGGGTATATAGGTTGAATTAGAATTTACAACCGGTCTTTATCGAGGGTTTCCACCTAATACCCAGCCATAAAATAAATATCACTCGACGATGGGGCGTAAAAGTTTAAGCAAAAAAGCGCTCGGCGCCTCCTTTGCGCCAGAGCGAGGAGGGGAGGGATCGGTTAAAATGACTGTTAGCCGGGAATGAAGCGAAATTTTATTTTACCCTTTAATACAACGCTTACTAAAATTGATTTTCCCTGTGACCCCTTTGACAAGCGCACGTCTCTATTCGCTTAATAATAGCATACTCCCGCGTGCTTGCGAGTACGCTATTAGTCCTCCCATTGGTCGAGCGCTCCATTTGACCAAACACTTTTCCGCTATCGCGTCTGCCGTGGAAAAAGAAAGACGAAAAAAGAATTAAAGGAAGAGAACGAAATTAACGTCCGATCGGTTCATGACGATTTTTATCGTGCGAAAGAAAAAAAGAAAGAGAGAGAAAAAAAATACGGTCGCGTTGTTAGCGGTTGGGAACAGTCCAGCTCGTATTAAATATTAATATTTTCGGTGTTCGAGCCGAGTGACCCAGTAATCTAATTCTCAGGCTGTTGTCCCGAAAGTTTCTCTATGAAAACATGATTATCGACCGCGGGACGTCTAACGTAACCGGTCACGGTGGCATCTAAAAGCATGCGAACGTCTAACAGAAAAAAAATAAACCACCCCGTAGCGTAATAATAATACCTTGCGTGTGTTTACGTGTGTACATTCGCCCCAGGTATTGCATCGGTTGGCAATGGAGCGCTAGAAACGTTTGGAACGTCTGCGAGGAGTGGCGACAGAGGCTGTCCTGGTTGTGGGCACCGCGGGAAGAAAAGGTATACGCGAGAAGAAAATCTCGTGAAAGAAATAGAGATGATACCGAGGTACAATCGTTTCGTTACGCCGATTTCTAGGTTGGTTTGGTGAAAGCACAATATCCAACGGCGCAGACGATACCTGGTTTGTATCGACAACCTGGAAACACGTCTCAACACCTCCTTCACAGCAACAGCGATCTCAGAATCGATCCTCAGGGCGGTTTCACCAGGTAGGAATGGATAAATGAAGTCTGACGATACAGGGGTGCGTCCAGCGGCGTCAATAGTCGCACGCAGTGCGGCAACTCCCGGCGTCGCCCCTGTGAAGCTCCTCCTTTATCGGAACACTAAAAATCTCGTAGTAGTAGTAGCACGAGGGATTGGTAAATTAAAATTATGCCCAAGAATCGAGTTGGTTGTCTCAGAAATGACGTTGTTTTAATGGTGTCTCTCATCTTCTGAACAGTGTAACAATGTATATATCTGTTAATTTCTTTCATTTTATATATCTACTTGTCATGATATTTATTTAAAGGAATGCTTTATGACAGAACGTGTAAGAGATCACTATGCCGCGACATTAAAAATGTTTGAACAGAGTGCTTGGATTAATTACGGAACGATCGCAGTGTTGTACGCGCTAACTTTGAATCAATAAAGAACAGTGTCAAAGCATCGGGCCGATATTGGCAATTTCGTGTCCAGCGGCGACGCTTGATGGTTCGATAATAGCATTTTTCGGTACGAGCACTCAAAATAATTGTGTAAAACCATTAATAGCTCGACTCGAATGGTGCTTGATATTAAGTAACCGTAGCGATGTTACAACATAAGCAATACGTTTTAATGTTTTTCGCGCGAAGTACTTTTTCCTCGAGAGCTGTCAAACATAACTATTATGCAATCAAAAAGACAAATAATAATAATCATATAAAATTTGATTAAAAATTCAACGAGTCGCAACAACACGCGCAAAGGTCTCGAAAGCTTCACGCAAGAAGAGACCCCTAATATTTGCAGATTTGAGCCGGTGGACAGAGATCTCCACCCGCCTCTGGGCGCAATCGGTAGCACGATTCCGCCGCAGCCACTGAGGCCAGCGCCACAGCCGAATCCGATACCCCAAATGAATCCAGCACCGCCACCAAAGTCAACGTCTCGTCCAAGGCCTCCGCCCCTGCAACCCCCCAGCACCGTGAACTATCTAAGGATGCAGGACACTGGTCCGGGTCCGCTAACTCCGCCGCCGTCGTTGCAGGGCTCGATTCCCTCGCGATCGAACGGCCCGTCGTTTTTCCATTTTCAAGCGAAACCGATCAAGAGCTACGGATTGTACAAAACGTCGAACGAGCACGTTCCGCCGTTCAGATTCGACGACACGACGCAATCCGTGACGGAGAGCATCCAAATGACACCGTACGGAGCGCAGAATCACGTGGACTCCCGACTGAGATACGAACTCGAGGAGGAGCGAAGGAAAGACACCAGATGCAACCCTTACAGGCAATTCGACGCCGGTGTCGAGTCGACCAGGATCAGGTACGGGGTGGATGGCGCGCCTATAGCTACTCTGAACGGCAAAGGGGACGAGGATGGGAACACGAGCTACGGCAGTTATGACATCGTCCAAAGGAGTCACATGATACGGCAGCATGTCAGGAATGATTCCCGTATCTCGGCAAGCAGTTACGGAATGACGAATTCTTCGAATGCCGCCAGCCAGACCATCATGGAATCGATATACGGGCCCGCGGCGCTGTCTAAGATGCTTCAGAGCACTCAGAGTCTCGGCAACGACCTCGATCGGAAGAGCAACGAGATGCAGAGCATAGAAATGACTCCCTTCAGGAGTTCTAGCCTTCAGAACGACATAGACGCGTCCTACTTGTTCAGGGAGTCCCAGGGACTGCAGAAGGTTTCGCAGTACATACAGAGCCTGCCCGATCTTCCTATTTACGGCTCGATGAACGAGCTAGCGCTGCACCAAGATCAAGAGCACGTGTTGTACGACGACACGATGCCGGACTCGATCGATGCGCTCAAGTTCAACAGCGAATCTGCATCCAGTCCTGTACCACCGCCGCCAGCCCCGCCTGATCCGCCGAAAGACCTGTCGAAAAAGAACGGGCCAACCACCGGCGAGAAAATATTCAATGCGTTGAGGTTGGTCACGTCGCAAAGTTACATCGACGCGCCGAAATTTTACAAGTATGTTGATCTGGTTGAACACAAAACGGAGTTGGGTTGTTTTTGACCCGCGGCGAAACTTTTCATTTTTACGTCTGCGAGTAAACATTTTTTTATTATTTCCAGCTTGGTAGTTTAAGCTACATTTTCCATTAACCATTTTTCTTTTGTTAACAAAGGTATATGTATACAGTCAGACTCATAAGTATTCCTACCTCTGATATCTATTGAAGAAATTCGCCTAAATTTAATTATAGGTTTCGATGTTTTCAAATAAATTTTTCAAATAGTATACATAGATATAAAAAAAATTCGAATAGAACGTTACCCACGAGTCTAAATTGACTCAGCTCTGTCTGTCAATTTTATCGAACGACGAGCATGGGAATGAATGGTTTAATACTTGTCGTTGCCTCGATAGCCGTAGCTCAGTCCTCTCTGCGCCAGAGCAAGTCCAATGTTTCACATTTCCATCGAGATCACCGTCGCTGGTGGATGACACCCTGAGCAATCAGTTGCAGAACGACGTCCGGGACATTTACGGGGAAAACGATGTCGATGTGATAGGTCCTGACGGATCTAGACGTAGCTCCGATCTGTACAGTCCTGAGCTTAATTTGGAAGCACACAGAACTGCGCAAGAAGTACAAATTTATTAATATTTAATTTAACATGTTGATCGCCACGTCAGCTGCGTATATTTGATAAGGATTTTCAGTGAGAATTAAATATATTAATTTCGAACGGGTTGCAAAAATAAGTTTTCTATATCGTTTTTAATTGTATAGAAAGTAAATTTTATGTTCGTAGGAATTTTCACGATTATTAGTTTGGCAGTCAACGTGTTAAAGGATTGGAATGGTTCTACTCAACTGTCTTACTTATTACACTATTTATACTCTTAACAGGTGTACAATAGTTTACAAAATCCCCCTTCGTCCCCGCTGTTACTCAAAGATCATCACGATCAAGAGACATACAGTTACGAGACCGATCCTAGTTTTACGAGAACCTCGGAGGTAAAGGAATCTCTGTTAATTCGAACGTTGAATTCGATCTGATAAGAACGATCCTTTTTCCAGGATATTTTGAATAGTATCGAGCAGAGGAGGAAAAGTATGGAAAGGCAGAATGGTATTCTCAGCGAGCTCAACGAGTTCGATGAAGCTGACTCGTTAAGTTTCCAGTATGCATCGATTCTGTTGACCCGGTCCGTTTGAAAACACTAATACATTAATCGATCAACTCGTTTTACAGAACCCAAAACCAAGATTTTTACGGCGCGCAGGAGGAGTTCCTGAAACGAAAATCGTCACAGGTGGGTATCGAACTGTTCCTGTTTCTACCTTTGGGTCGATAAGTGTGTCGTGTCGTGACGATTAATTTCTGAGCCGCAATGTAAATCCGTAGAATTGGGAGGACGCGTTCATCTCGAATTACACTTTGAACGATTTCAACGAGATCAGTCGCGGTAGCCGTCGTGGACCACAGGGCCCGGAACCGGAGCCACCACCGGATGAATTGGACATGAAGAGAGCCATAAGCTGCGAGAGCGTGTGCTCGGAGACGAGCGTGGTTTTCAACGACCTCGAAGAAAAGCGTATCGTCGGTTGCGTCTGCGTGACGGTTGAATACGACAGATTGAGCGGTCGTGGAGCTGACAGCGAGGGTGAACTCTCGGTCACCGTCCACGAGGCCAGTGATCTCAAAATGCCGGACGGTCAACCCGCACAGAACACGTTTGCCAGGTTTGATTATCTCTGATCTTACGGCATACACACAGTGGGTGATCAAATGATTACGAACGACTCAAAGTTATAATTCATTTTATATTTAATTAGGAGTGGAAAATGTGCATTGATTAAAACTCGTTATCTCGTAATTATAATCGAACATAAATTAACGATGAACTCTTACTCTTTTAGAGTATGTCTGTTACCCGACAGGCAATTGTCACAGAGAACCAAAACGTACAGAGGAAGTCCATTGACCCGTTACCATGAGAAATTCTTGTTTTGCCTCCACGGTGGTCCCACGGGCAGAACGCTTCTCGTCGAAGTAGGTCTTGACGATACCACAGCCCGTAGAATGAGTCCAATGTTTAATAACTAATCGCAACGATTTGTGTATCCGATCTCTAAGGTGTACTCCGACGAGAATTGCATCGGCAGCGATGAAATTCTCATCGGCGAAGCTACTTTACCTTTAGAACCGCCGCCAAGGGGCACTGGCACGACAACCACCAGGCTACAACTCGTTGGATCGCGTCTACCAAAGCCACGATTAGGGGAATTGATGTTCTCTTTGAGCTACTCGCCAACGGCGGAAAGACTCACTCTGGTCGTCGTGAAGGCTAAGAATTTACGCGGCGCCAGCAGCGTGTCTGGGGACTTCTTTGTCAAGGTATGTTATTTCAAGGTGAAAGATGTCTTTTTGGAAAGACACCTTGTATTTTCGAGGTGAAAACGTAGTACCTGATGTCGTGGGAAATTCAACGATATTGGATATATGATTTGAATAAGCTTGAAGTAAGCACGAATGATATCGAACTAAAAAATTGAAGGTTTGATCGAAGGAAGCATTAACGCGTTTTCCCATCTCCCTAGCAAAGTCGTTACACCATCACTGTAAAATTTCTGTAGTATACCTAATTTTCATTAAATATAAACACGATCTGTGTCACGAACACATGGACTGACACTTGAACATATTACATCTTCTTTGTATGTTACAAAGGTTTACTTAATTCAACAAGGGAAGAAGGTGCACAAGAAAAGGACATCAATCAAGAAAGGGGAGAATAATCCGATTTTCAACGAGTTTATCATTTTCAATGTGCCCACCCATATCCTGGAGGTTCGAATAAATTTTCTCTGTCGACCATCGAACGAGATCCACGACTCGTGTTTCAATCCAATTCTTTTCAGAATATACAGTTGAGATTGAAGGTCGCGGAAATCAACAGCGAGCAAGGCATGAAACCGATCTCCGTCGGGTACATTATCGTCGGGCCCACGTCGACCGGAAACGCGCTTCTCCATTGGAGGCAAATGCTGGCTGCGTACAGACATCCTGTCGCCATGTGGCATCCGCTTAGAAAGTGAAGAAAATGGGTGTAACATAGGAGCGAGAATCTGTAACGATTCGAGACACTCTGCGACGAAACTATGCGACATCTGGTCAAATTCTTGGAAGACTTTGTTCCAGGAAAAGTTTACTTCTATCGTGATGTTCAAAATCATTCATGAAAGTAATTCATTTCTCCTTTAAAGAATAAAATCATTAGAAACGTGGCGGCTAATAAAAACGTTGGACCATTGCTCCAAAAAAAAAAAAGAAAAAAAAGAAACACAAAGTTGCTGCCACAAGAAGTTCTTAATTTGTGAAGCATCATTATTTAAGAAAACGATCGAATAATTTCGTCTATAATTTCGTCCAATAATTTCGTCGCAGAGACGGAGAACGGTAATGTTATTCGACTTTGTGTATAAATCACAGGTCTCGTTGACTGGCGAGGAAAGAAAGCAGAACTCATTTAGGTTCGTCGACTTTGCGAAACAATCGCATTTGTTTCGTTGAAACGCATCACAAACACGTAAATTACACAGGGTGCTGACACGTTTAAGGCCTCAAGTAAACAGATTTTTCTATTAACAGTTAATAATTACTCGTGACTATTCCTCCGTGTCTACAACATCCGACCGTTCTCCTCTCCACTGGAACGGAGGAAACACTTCAACGCGTGTTAATTGTACAACATCGCGCATTTAGGATAGAAACAAGATAAATTCAACAGATCCACCGTTTCCGACTAGGTGGTATAAGTTTCAATGTTGATCTCGTATCCTGTCGTACGTGTACTAAATGGAACTGCATGATATGTTGTATCACCCTAATGTAAGATTCAAAATGACGGCTCCGTGATCGAGTGCCTCCTTGGGGCGTTTACTATAACGAATCACGACGAGGGAAAGTCATCTGCGACTTAAGGATGTACTTTGGTGTAAAGGTTTAAAAAGAGAGGCTATTTGGGAATTATAAAAAGAAAAACTACACGTCGTACAATAATACATGATTCTGTGTTTGAGAATACATATCCTAAAAAGCTGAAAAGCCATTTTTTTTCCTGGAGAATCTATTTGTACGAAACGAACAAAAAATACAAATTTCTTAATATCTATTCATGTGGGTATGATGTCCATTAGAATTAATGAGAAACAATAAAAATTCGAACATTGGCACGTATTTTTGTAAAATATTGCAGAGAAACGCGTTTATCTAGAAAATGTTAAGTATAAAATGTATTTATTCACCAACGCTGTTTATTCTAGTAAACATGATAGCCGCTTGAATAGACATTAAACAATTGTTGTTTCTTGTTTTAGGCGAGAAATTTAAAAAAAAATTTTGTTGGCCTCTTAAGATATGTACCGTTAAACACAAAATCATTTATTATTACACGATTCGTAGTTTTTTCTTTTTTTCATTCCTGAAGAATCTTCTATTTTTACATGATTACATTAGGATGTATCTTTGAATAAAAATAAAAACATGTTAATAGCACGATTAAAGCAAGAGGGCTGACGAGTGCGCATGAATCACGGAGCACGTATCAATCATTTCAGACTGATGTATCGATATCAAAATCATCGTCAGGCACAAATCGCAATAGGCTCTAAATCAGGCATGTCAAACTCGCTTTGTCCGAGGATCAATTTGCATTTTGGCATCGTGTTGCGAATGTAAACAATTGATTCGCCGCAGTCAACAATATAGGAAGCAAACGTGTGTAGGATTGAGAAAGAAAAATGGCAGGTTTATTTGTGGGAAGGTGTAGGCACACTTTTTATTTATCGAAGCATTCAAATCTCAAAGGAGATGTGACTATACTACGCATAATAAAAATTGAATAAAAACAAGTGTAAAATAGCGGAGCAAAATGAAACGTGTTTGACATGCCTGTCCTAATTGAATCTTCATCGTCGTTCGCGTCGTGCGTCCCTCTACGGGGAAGGTTCGAACGAACTTTGCGACGATTATAAGACTCTCCCCTGTACGAGGCTCAAATATGTACATTAATATTTTATATACGGCCAGGAAACGTCAAGGCCACGAAAGATAGTATTCTGTCCTCTATTCGTTTCGTTGGTTGTTGGTGAATCGGGTGAATTGAATACGAAAAAAAAAAAAAATAAGGGAATATCGAAGAGAATCGAGCGCACTTATATGAATTAAGCGAACGATGATTTCGTTTACGGCTTGTCTCGTTTGTGCGCGAATTTTGAAACGCAAAACATAATCGAACCTTCCTTGCGTGTACAGAAATTTCATCGAAACATTCTGTGTGTAACGCGTTTAATCTAACGATAGGCTAAAACACGTAGGAGACCTGGGCAAATTTTATTTCAAAAGACAGTGAGGAATAGCTATTTCAAATAACATTTTCATATTTCATTTCTGGGTAATATTATTTGGTAAACGATCGAAGTATTGATGGATTATATATTCTCTCTCTTTTTTAAATAATATTCGTTGTTTTAACGAGGTTCATAATTTCATCGAGTGAAAAAAATTGTAGAAAACTAGATTTCTAGAACACGTTAGTTATTCGATGAAATGGTATAACACAATTGTATTTAAAAATTGAACTAATCCAGAAGTAAGATAACGTGTTAATTGAAATAGTATTTTAAATAATGTTATATCAAAAGTGCTCAGGTCTATAGGAAATATGTTATTAAGCGATGAATTCTTTTCACGACGAGAAGAATTTCTTTAACGATTCAACTATAATTGTTTCCGCGATTAACCGTCAAGTTTCTCGCTTTTGCTTGTTAAGCGATATTCTTTCTTTTATTACTGGCATATCAAGTTGAATCTCGCTCGTTGTTTCGCCAATCACGATACACATTGCGTAAGAAGAAAGGAGAAAATTTAAAAGGACAAGAAAATTAAAGGATTCATTGCGAGGTCGAAGTATTTATGAACGATAGAACCTCTAATTCAGGGTTTCATCGAAAATTGTAAACGTTGTTGTTCTCAATGGACTGTTAATGTTTGTACAGAGTTTATTAACGACGTACTCGACGCGCAGAGCATTCTCTTCGAAACGTGGACGATCGATCTCGATCATCGATTGCGTTCTTTTCTCTCCTAATGGTTACCGATCATTCTTTCACTTTCAACGTTTCCTCTTCTTCCTCCCCGTCGTCACGACTCCTTCCTCCTATCGTTTTCCATCCCCTTCAGAGACGGGCGAAATTTTTATTTTAAAACAAAAGAATGTTACATCCATTACTTGTACTATGAAAATTCCATTTATTTTTCGATCGGTTAACATTGCAAAAAATTAATTTCTCACGTGCAAAATGATCTGTATTGTTCGAATAAAATTTCGCCCATCTCCTGTTCTTCCACTTCCCTTCATGACTTCACTTGACGCTCGGCCGAATTATACAATCTTTAAACAATGCAGGGTCGATGCAAAACGACTGTCGATTGTTTGTATTGAGAGGTAGAGTTTAACGATGAAATTCATGCGTCGACTTGATCCTAAATTTTGCTCGAGCACGATTCCATTGGGCGTTCGAGGTTACGATAACGTTACCAATAAGAATAATGGTATTCGTGATCGAATGTACAGTGTCATTCGGTCGGAACCATTTCGAAATTATTTCTCATATTTAAATTATAACTTGAATATTCTGCAAGAATTTACGAAGATACCTAAGTTCTCGTGTAAATGATACTAGATTCTAAATATTATTTAACCCAGTCATGGCTGACATTTTCGCAGATGGATTTAGAAGTACGTAAAAAGATTTTTAAATATATTATTCCGTTTTCATATTAGGTAGGCTGATGTCCTTCTGGAAGAATCAAAACTATCTGTGCTAAAATATTGAAAAATGAAACAGTCATAGAGATTCAGCGTTTTCTGGGTTAATGGCAATTAGATGATTTCAGTTTTATCGGAGAACTGAATTATTCTGATATCGATGAATTGGTAGTTCCGTCTGAAATGGCAAACCTCGCGTTAGTTAGCACACCAACGGGATCGTCAGAGCAAATCGAACGAATTAGATAGCCTTTCGGACCTCATAGCCTATTCTATACCTGTAAATTTTGTACCTCTTCGTACACGATAAATCTTAACAAATTAATCCTTCGTATACACGCAAACGTACACGTACAACACACACATACACACACGCGCGCATACATATACACGTGTATATATGCATCTATACATTATAGATATCATTACGAGAAAATTTTACACTCTATACTATACATCTTTTGTCATAAATGCCGACTAATCGACTATTTCAATCCATACTTATGAACTTATTCAGGTTTTTTCTATCGCCAACTTACTATGGGACTAATATCGCTGAATTCTCATTAACTCCATACGTATATTTGTAAATTATCCATCGTGGACGATATGTATCTCTGCATCGTTTCGTACAAAGTGATCCGTGAGGACGAACGCGATCAATCGGTTTTCGTACGGCAGATCAACTCTGATTTAGATCAGAAAATTTGAATAAAAGACGAACGACGGGTTTACTTCAATGAATGTAATCAAAATTAGAGTCAAAGAGAAGAAGAGACTTTCCATGGAGGTATCACAATATCGAGTGCGTTATAGTGTAGTAAGTCGTCGTAAGCAAAATTTGGGCGTTTTCTTTCTTCCTCCCTGGAATACTTAATTTTTTGAAAATTTTAATCAAATTTATTAAGGGAATAACTCGAGTACCCTAAGCTATAAGAAACTGCAAAAGACGATTTTTATAAAATGCTAGAGTAGAGCACCCTCTTACAGTAGCAGATCTAGATACTACCCTAAGAAATAATAAAATGGAATTGCAAGTACCTTTATGATTATTTAACACGTTCATGTACGCTATGTCAGCCGTATATGGGTGACAATGGATTTTACTGAAGAACTAAAAAAAAATTAATTTCGAAAGTTAAACGCCACAGAAAATGAATACGTATGAAATATTTGAATTTCGGCGAAGTTGCAACAATAAATACCACGATAAACGTTTGATTATGTAGTCCCCGATAGTTAGTAAATGAAATTCAATCGCGGTAGAAATTTTAGCGTGGCAGTAAACGTGTTAAAATGTGTGACTTCACCTGACACAATTTTAATTTTACCGTAATTATACCGCAATACCTGAAACTTGAGATAAATCGCGAGCCACGAATGCCAACAAAATGAATTCGAAAATTTGAACTACAACACCCCACCTCGATCGACTCTTCTTCTCTTCCCAAAAAAATATTGCTACCCCGGGCACCGGAATTTTCAAATCGCAACGACGAAACGCGATTAAT